TTTCGTTAATCTTTATCTCTTATACGAATAGCATTTTGATCAACTCTGTCTGGTACAAATATCGCGAGTATTTGTATTTCAAAATTACGTAAGCTCGTTCAAATATTGTTACCCGAAACGGTTAATATTTACCGCAGTGCGGATTCGACGACAAATATTTAATTAAATGCATAATTGGACAGAAAACATTTATAAAGATAGTGTTCCCCATGCCGATGTCCTTTCGAATTCGACGAATTTTATTTAAATTTTGTTTAAATTCCAAACGGGGGTTTCTTCCCTTGAATCAATAACAAACTTTCGGCCACTGATGTTTACAAACTTTCTGTATCGTTAAACGAACCGGGAAATTTGTTTACAAGGACACGCCTCGCTCTCCCCCGAAATGTTTGCCCATCAATAATATATGGAGAGCTGCAGAAGGGAGTATAAAATTTGTATATTCGGAATGGAACACAACATTTTGCAACGTGTCCGTGGCTAAAAATATTTTCATGCACAAACTATGATGTCATACTGTACCCGAACGTGCCGAACGCGAAAAAATTTCAAAACTGAAAATAGGATTGATAGTAAAAGTTGCTGCTGTCCACACAACGAACATGGATACGCATTAAAATTGATCGTTTTTTTATTTTATGTTTCGGCCACCACTTCACGGAACACGTTTCTTCGATAAATGTTGGAACAACACTGAAAAAGGTTCAAATTACACCTGGGACTCTTTCTGCACTGTGTTTTCAACAGGTTTCCAGTAGAAAAAAAAATGTATCGTTACTCTTTATTTTCATGGATGCATTAATGTTACTTTCACTGGTTTATTAAATAACATGTTTCAAGTAAATGTAATTTCATGTTTTAAATTATTTCCTGCACCGTTGATGCATGTTTTAAAGCTTACCGCAATTCAATATTCACACGATTTTTGCACTCACCGCACAAAAGAGGGATCAAAACTTCATATCTGATTCTCCATAAATATGATTAATAGCAATCTTGACTTAAACCAAATCGCATTACCGTTTGACGAAGCAAACGGAAGCTTCCACAAAAATCTGTACATGCATGTACATATTTAAAAATCAGCCAAATGCTCCCCCGTACATTTTACGTCATTTTTCAGAATAAATTTGGAAAACTTTTGTTCCCGAAATTGAAACAGCCGTCATGATAACAAAGTGTTCATTTAAATAACGTTTTTGAAGCGGTGGAAATGAAAAAAAGGCTGTTCGTACCCCGTTTGTTGGGCACTGCTAACGGCCCCTGCTTTTATTTTCTCTCAATTAATTTGTCCGTTTTTCGAGCATTCAGAATTAAATAAATGCGAATGTTTTAATCGAAATACGAAATATAGGTATTTTAGTAAGCCGAAACAGTTTGGATCCTATCCGCTCAAAAAGTTATACAACGATGTAATTTTTCTGTTTCATTCTGCGATTCATTTTACCTTTGCTTTCTTCGTTAGCGTGTTCAAAAAAAAAACGAACGAACCGCTTTGAACCTATTAAAACGATTCAAATTGATACTCGCAAAACGGTAGCAAATTTAAATGATATTTAACCAGTTGGTTATTGCGACCTCTTTGAAAAATGTGTACCTAAAATGTATCGCAAAATGTGAACTTTGTTCACACTATATATAGTTTCTTCATAATAATTAATTATATCATTTTATTTGTTCGTTTTGTTTCGTCTTGGCCTCCACATATTCGAAACATCTGAAAATTTACGAATATATTTTAGTTCGCACTAAAATTGCAATTTAAACAGCAAAATTTTTAAGCATGGCGAGTATACTCGTCGTAACACAAAACATTGCCATTACTTCATGACGAGTATACTCGTCAAAAACAGCTAACTGGTTAAGGGAATGATTCGAGCCGTCGGCTCTGTTCAGAAAAATATGAAGTTTAGGAAGCAATAAAATGTTAGCAAAATGCCTCCGCGTTATTCTACTATGCACGCGTTGCCCGTCGATATCGATGCAAAACGAACATTCGAGACAATTCAATGGAGCGAGTAAGAGCAGAAAATCTATTTCTCTGGGATAGCATCCGACAAGCGAAGGAGAAAGATTAAGGAGTGGGAGGTGACGAGGGAGGTAGAGAGGGGTGGGAGGCAATGTAATTAAGCGCTTTCGGACACGAACAATTAGGTGGAAAAAGAACGAGCACGATTCGGTGCGCGGAGCCGAAAGGACGGGGCTCGGGCATAAAAAAGCACGCGAAAAGTCGGGGAGAAAAAAGACTTCCGGGGACGCAGAAGGCATTATATAAATTCAGGGAGACCGTGCGCCGTGGGATAGACGCGTCCCATCCCTAATGGGTCCAACCATTATGACAATTGCATCTGCCGGATATATAAAACTAAACAAAAAACACCGGAAACAAGACAGAGCGCAGCAACGATATGCTTTCATTTTTTGGAGCGCGAAAGAAAGACAACAGCGGGGATAACGGCGGGCATCCGGGCAACTGAAACGTCCCCTAACAAAACCTGCAATTGAACCTTGACTATGATTCCGTAGCTATAAGGAAAAACGTCCCAAGTCACAATTTTAAAATGTTTATGTTAATGCTTTAACTGAACTGTAGCATATAGGATTTACGTATTTATCTCGGAAAACATCGTGTGAAAACAAATTACTAATGCGAATAATAATAAGAATTTTAATACTAGGTTTGCGGAACCCGTCAAATTGAGGGTTTATTTATTTTTCAATTAACGATTATTCAGATTGTAAAGATACGTTTATGAGCTATTTATTAAATATATGTGCTACTTGCGGCGAATGTTGCAATAACGCTCGTTAAAAATCAAGATAAATGTCTTATTGTTACTTTTATAAACTAATATAAAACAGGCTGATTTGTAAATCTGGTGTTAAGCAACAATATCTCGGAAGTGAGGACATGTCCTTGCAGTCGCATAATTGTGCACTAACGTGATCCATCAAAATTCTAACACTTGGCGAAAAAAATGACATGCCCAAACTTTGACATCGACATTTCCAGAAAATGACATCGTCCATTACAGTTTAAACATTTCAGTGATTTCATATCATTTTCAATCATAACTGTATTAACTGTATTTCCAATTGTAAATCAAATTTTTTCTTATTTTTTCACATAGAACCCTGTTCGGTTGTATTTTACGAATATGTAATTATATTACGAATTATACGGCCCACCCTATATATCAATGAATAGACTACGGATTTAAAATTGAACTTTTACAACAGAATCAAAGCGCCAATGTAAAAGTTAACTTAAAACAGAAACTGAAATAATTCAGAAGAGTTTACTAAACAAACTATGTTTATAAAATTTTACAGTTAAATCACAGCTAAATTCAAGCCCTGTTAGAGAGATGAAACAACCCTTAATGGAGTGCATTCAGGCGAAAATCAACTACCAGTAATGTTGCAGATAAAATTTTCAAAATATGAATTTTCATAGCATTTTTTTACGCTGATCTTCACACTTTAAATTACGTTGCCAAAAAGTTTGCACGTAATCCGAATCAGCGTAAAAAATACTATCAAAATGCATATTTTCAAAATTGTACCTGAAAAATTGCTGGTAGTTGATTTTCGACGAATTGCCAACGCCCCGTTGAAATAAGGAATAAAAAATAGTTGTAAGGGATGTTTTCACTGTTTCAACATGGACGATTCTTACGCAGAACAAATCAAAAGTCGACAAAAGAGGATAGCTATTAAGAGTCGTTGAGCATCCGAGTCATAGGCGGATTGGTCCGAGGACTCGGAAACGACCGCGGCCGACGTTGTGTATCAATATTGTGATTTCCAAGTGTCAGGAGAAACAAAAAACGACTGGGAACAAATAGAAAGAAGAAGAAACAGAGGAGAGAAGAAAAAAGAGAAGGCGAGTTGGGACGCGGGTGGAAAAGCGAAAGAGAAAAAGAAAATTACTTTTTCATGTAGTATCGCGTCGCGGTTCTTCCCTCTTTCAAATTGATTTATACATCGGGTCGTTGGCATTTGCATGCCCTTGGTGGCTCCGGGTTCGGCAAAAAATACAGAGAGATCCCGATTCGTAAATATCGCGTTGCCGGCTGGAAAAATATTTGTTTTGCCGTTCCAGCAACATTCCCCTTCGACCACGGCATGTCGTTCCACCTTCCTCGAGGACTCCTCTTAAATTTGCTCACGGTTATGCCAGATCGTTCTCCAGCGAACGCAACAGTTCCAGGTACCAGCGATAAAGCTGTGATTCACGTTCCATGCCTGGTCGCCGTTCACCCCTTTTCTTGCTTCTACCTCTTTCCTTCTTCTTCTCTCTCTCTCTATCTTTCTCTCTCTCTCTCTCGGATTTTTCCTCAATCATCGTGCCGCATTTTGCCTATCGATGGGCGTCGAACTATGCCCGGCTCTCGCTCCATAACTTTCCTGTAATGTCTGCACGCTCGCGCGAGGCACCCGCGCGATTAAATCGCGCACTGATATCGGCACACCGGGAAATTTACAGCGAATACGCCGCGACGTTGCTCCCCGTGTCCCGCGAATTTTAATTGGATGTCTCTGCCGCGGCACAGCACGTATGCGCGTCTTTATCTCGGAATAACTGCGTCACATTTCTCTTTTGTTCTGATTTCATGTTGTTTTTTTAAGACTGCGGTATTTGATGTTAAGGGATGAAGCAATGTTGAGTACGACTGGGGAAATAGATTTTTGAAATAATAAATAGATTGTAAATATTTTTGTCTTTTCTCTCTCTCTCTCTCTCTCTTTCTCTCTTTCTCTTTCTCTCTCTCTTTCTCTCTTTCTCTTTCTCTTTCTCTTCTCTTTCTCTCTTTCTCTTTCTCTCTCTCTCTCTCTCTCTCTCTCTCTCTCTCTCATGTAATACAAAATTTGTCGAATAAACGTTTTTTAAAATAATAGTTACATATGGAAATAGCATTACAAATGTATTGGCGATTTTCCTGAGATTTTGTAAAAACTCTAGTGCTGATAATACATATGCTTTCCTATATTTTCAGAGTGCGACTGGACGTACGATGACACCGACTGCATCCACGGATGTGTGCTAGCCAGTCCGGGGCATCCTGGTCTATATCCGCCCAACAATCGATGTCTGTACCTAATTACTTCCAGTTCGCAAATGTCCATCTCAATTAACTTCACCAGCGTGCTTCTACCTGACAAGTAAGTAATTCATGCGACGGATAGAATTTCTAGCTGAAATCTCATAATTGAATTTTTATAACGGTCTACTCTTGCTACGAATAATTAACCACAATGAAATTCGAATACCATGGATAATCGATTCCGAAAATAACTTCTAATTTATTCGCGTTCACTGTGCAACGTTGCCGTCGCGATCGTGCAATTGAAGTGCCGTGTTATTCGGCGCAATTAACCGTGTTATCACTTTGACTGCCCCGCCACTCGTACATGTGATTGCCACAATTAATTGTTTATATTTGACAATTACTTTTTACTTATTACTTTTCAATTATATCTTTCTAATTTTATTGGAATCTGCGAAACGCAAGAATATTCAAAGACAGAGATGGACATTATTCGAATATATAAACATTTATCTAAGATAATTATCCGAATGAACACTTTCTAGTCCAATATTTTATTATTATTCGAATAAATTACTCTAATCAAGATTGTAAAATTATTCGAATAATAATGCGATTAATTGTTGACCGTTTTTGTCATTTTGAAATTTCATAAAAATATATATTTATACGAATACATAATTTTTTATTCCAAAAAGTAATTCATGTTATACTTTCCAGTTTTACATTGACGAATTAAAACACTTCAATTTAATGAAATTTTTGAGGTAATGAGCTAGTCTTGTTACAAGAATTTCCGTATTATTCGAAGATTGTGTGTAAATGGGAATTTTGGTACCTGTTCGAAAGGTATCGCTCGCAGAGTACCCAGATCGAAGCACGTAGGTGCTCGCAACAACGGCGCGAAAACTCCGCTAGGAATCTCGCCGAAGATCCGCGTCTCGTTCGCGATAATTTCCATAAATAGCGTTGCCAGTCGTCGACAGAGATTTCTGGCGCCCGACACGTCCGCAAATATTTAAATAACGCTTCCGTCTCTCGGGGGATGAAAGTATCGTCGCGTCTTCGCTGAGCTCGTTTCGGAGCCGGGGCGCGCAGCTAAGAGTCCGCCTTCCGCGAGGGTAAATTGTACATTTTAATGTCACGACGCCAAGAGGGAAAACCAATTTCGTCGGATGCATCGTAGCCTGTGAAGAAGGAGAGAATGAGAGAGAGAGAGAGAGAGAGAGTGAGAGTGAGAGAAAGAGTTGGTCTCGCGGCACCGAAAGTGTTTCGTGAGATTCAGGTATACAGAAATGTCACAAGCCAATACGCTTTCGTTCGTTCCGCGCCGCATCGTGGGCCCGGAAGTGCTTTGTGCAACGCTGGAAAATCAGCGGCGACGATAATGCGTGCCGCCGATGGAGCTCGATAATGCGCATCTTCGATACTCTCGAATCGTGTCCCTCCTTTTCCGTCCAGGTCGAGAAGAAATACGCGAGCGCTCCGCTTATTTTCAGTAGCGAGTTATTCGCGCTCCTCGCGTACAGTTTTTCCTCCCGGTCGTCGTTAAAGGTAACTTCGAAGCTCGACTCGCGCTGATTTTACGCGCGAGTTCCGAGAACTAATTTGAAAGTCGAAAGATGCAACTGCTACCGTCCAGATGTATTGTTAATGCGATCCCGCTTCGAATGTCCGCGCTGTATTCGCCGGACGGGCGCACACGTCGCGCAACTTCGGTCGAACTTTTGCATCATCTGTTCCACGGAACTGGATAAACCGAATTCCGGCTAACTGAAAATCAATCGACACCGAAAACCGACTCCGATCCGGCAAAATTCGACACCGAGAACCTTATACTGTGGTTACGCGTGCCTCTCGGAACTTAACAAACTCAATATTAGAGATCTACGGAGTCTGTTGTCTTTCAGATTAGTCTTGAAAACACTGTTTAATCCGCTGCCGAGAATTGTAAACCTGGGAACTGTTGTATGAAACACATGTGCCGTTGAATACAGAGTTCAATCTGAAATAGGTGATCGGAAATGAGAGTACTTTAACTCTTGCGTGCGTGCGTAGTAACTCGTTGCGCTACGATCACTTTTTCTTATTTATACCGTAACTTTTTAAATAACTAGCCTAACTAATCACGGGTGCGTGTAACCAATAACATTTATTAAAAATTTAATCGTATCCAAATCGAACATGCCGTTTTATCTTATCTTTTTCTTCACTTTTCATTACATACAATAAACCGCGTTGCTTAGCAAACCATTTTTAATAACCGGAAAAAAGAAACGATGTCTTAAAAAACGAATCTTTAAAATAAAAAATGTGAAACCGGTCACATTTTGACCGGCATCGGTAAGCGCAGTTTTGATTCTTTCTGAATCAACCGATTTCAAAGAAATTTTTTAAATGCGTGCAACCGACACGAGAAATCACGATGCAATTTTTCCTATTTATTTATTGTCGCATCTGCTTAATAGCAATTAGCGACCACGTGTGGGATTACGATCGTTACATGCGAATGTGTAATATTGTAGTTATAATAGTTTCTAAAGTAGATTATCTACATTGAACATTCTGGCTTCAACATTGTCGCCTTAATCCAGGTTCCTAAAGTTACTATACAATTTCGCCAAGCAGTTTGGCTCCTTCCGAACAGGACGTAACTTTCGCTGTGTGTTTGTAATTGCCCAAGCACATTCTTCGATGGCATCGGACGTTCATTACTTTCTTCCCAAATATTGTTGTACGATGAACAACCTATTAGAAGGTGTTTAACTGTGAGCTCGGTGTTACAGTGGTTACAAAGCGGTCTATCAGTTTTCGAGAGCAGGCGCTGATCTGTTAACGTCGAACGATAAATTTGATTTCCTTCGTTACCTAGAAAATGTCCGACTTGCCGAGCAATAAATCGAGTCGCTTGATCCAATTTCAGGCATATGATTCTCTTAGGAAGAGGCTTCGAATATTAATGGGTGCCGCAGTACGTATCCAGAGTACATCTTTCGCGACCGAGTGTGCGCTTCGACAACAACGCCGCGAAGACGCCGCGCCGCCATCAATTACGGTAGATAACTGTTTCGGGAACCAATCCCCATTAATTTCGGCGGATCCGCTGACGTTGGGGCTGTACGCGATCCCGTGTATCGTCGATCTGGGTTAAGAAGCAGCGCTTACGTCGCTAATGAGCAGAGACTTGATACTCCGACACCGCGATGCAACTAGGTCGTGATTTGATAGACTGCCGCTGACTTTTCACAGTCTGCGCGAAGATTCTGCGACTCTGTCGAGATTAGCTGTACGTACTCGCATCGCTCCCGGATAGAGGAGCTAAGGTTACCAGCGCGGTAAATTGTCGAACTTCGAAAACAAGCGGTAACGAGAACCAAGAAACGACGGCGCTTTATACCAATTCGGCGAGCTACGAAATACGAAACTAATTAGAGCACGCACCCTTGGAAAGAATGGGAGAGAGAGAGAGAGAGAGAGAGAGAAAGATGTATATATATATATATATATATATATATATATATATATATATATATATATAGGGAGAATAGAGAAGCAAGTCCGATACAGCGAACACGGTGCAGAGTGCGCGCCGGATAGAACACGTATGCATATTTCTTCGTTGCTATGCAAGTAACTATCGCGTTAGTGGACCGATCGAAGCAGCTGGCTCTCCGGTAGTTATAAACCGCTGTACTCCAAGTGACTCGAATCCCTGTACAAAGTTATATTAATCGTTTTACACTTCGATGTCTCAGTAGTTCGCTCGATATACGATTAATTCCTGGGAATTGCTGTTCCCAAGATTCCCGAGTTGTTTGAGCACACAGCGGAGGAAGAAAGCAGAGATGGAGTCGCTGAATAACCCGGTGGTTGTTTACTTTTAATAGAAACACTGGCTCCTTCTTGAAAAGCAAGTAATAGCTGAAGAGAGAGAGAGAGAGAGAGAGAGAGATTGTCCGTTATAAATTAAACGATACAAGAGATTTTCAATTTCTACCACGAAACGGTAGTTTCGCTTGGCGAAAATGATGAGACAATACCGTGAAGACATTAATTAAGAGAAATATGAGAGAAAGCTTATTTGTCTCTATATAGGGTTATTTTCTCTCGTAGATATTAATCGTAAGAAATAGAATTTCAAACGATCAATTGAAATTTAGACACTGTGCTGATCCAAAGTTTTCAAGTGAATTGTACCAAGTTTAACAAACCTTTCAGGCGAGATGCAATAAAGTAGATTCATTTTTAATTCAGATAAACTTGAAAGAACTAATCGTACATGTACACATGAAACAATATTTATATATTTATATATTATATAAATATATTATATTATATTATATTTTATATATATATAATATAATATTATATATATATATATTTCAAATAATTGTTTCTAGTACGTCTTAAGAAAATACTATTTCAATTAATAAATTTCTTTACCTCAATATAAATAATTATTTTTAAGACTAAAATTATACTTCTCTCTATGATGTCAAATAAATCTTGAAATATTACTTCATATAGACGGGAGTATTTCATTCAATATTTCCAATACTTTTTCAAGCCAAATATTTTTACTCAGTTCCTTAATTGCATTAACTCGTGTTTTTATTAGTATTGACATTATTAAATATTTTTTAACACTGAACCCAACGCGATCAAATTCTGCGAACTTTAGAGACTTTTTCATGGAAAATGCTTGAATAAGTTACGATATTGGAGCAAGTTTGATAATAAAAACTTTACAAAATCTAAATAAATTCGATCTTCTCACTTCTACGAACAAATGCACGCCGGTTACCATTGCTGCTTGTTAGGTTTGATGTTAAATAGTGCTGTTTTTTTTTTAAATTACACTGATATTTTCCCCTGGTAGGCGCGAGAGCTCGATCTGTGACCCGCGCAAAATGTGTTAATGGGTGCACAGTGAACCGAAAGCGAGCAGAACGTGTAGAGTGGAAGGAATAATCACGATACAAGCGGGCGATGCAAGCGCGGCGGCCGCTTCAGTGCAACGACTAGGTTTTTACGACACGGACTGCTCGAAAGCACTTCCATATACGAGAAGCAGACGTCAAAAGTACACCGGAGCACTTCCCTACCCCTTTGAAA